TGGCACAGCTGGGGCCCTCCCTCCCCCCCACTCCCACCCGCATGCCTGGGCGCTGCCGGGCAGACAGCTGCTGTGAATGCAACAGGCTGGGTCTGGTCCTGCTGAGCCCGCGGGCGCAGGAACCTGCCTCTCGCTGCACAGACACTTTCCCGTCCTGCCCCAGCGCCGGTGAGAACGATGCAAATCTCCAGCCCCAGGACAAACCAGCAGATCAAATTATTTAACAGGCAACTGGCAAATCCATTGAAAATGGTCAAACCAGTCCAGTGCCGGCCAGGAGGAAGCCCTGGAGCAGGGGCTGAGAATTGAGAGCCAAGCCCTCTCAATGGCTGTGTCTAGACGGGCCACTTTTTCCAGAAAAGCAGCCGCTTTTCCGGAAAAACTTGCCAGCTGTCTACACTGGCTGCCTGAATTTTCACAAAAGCACTGACGATCTCATGTAAGATTGTCAGTGTTTTTGCGGAAATACTATGCTGCTCCCGTTCGGGCAAAAGTCTTTTTCCGAAAAACTTTTGCGCAAAAGGGCCAGTGCAGACAGCACAGTACTGTTTTCCACAAAAAAGTCCCGATCGCGAAAATGGCCATCGGGGCTTTTTTGTGGAAAAGCGCGTCTAGATTGGCCACGGACACTTTTCCGCAAAAAGTGCTTTTGCAGAAAAGTGTCCTGCCAATCTAGACGCACTTTTCCGAAAATGTTTTAACTTTTCCGTTAAAAGCATTTCCGGAAAATGATGCCAGTCTAGACGTAGCCATAGTGTCTCCTGGATAAAAGCTCCCAACTGTAAGACAGCTGCTGGCAGTTGGGAGCGTTTATCCAGGAGATGCATTTCCACATAAACTGGGGGAGGGGTTGGGGAGAGGCTGCTGGCTGCTCTGTGCAATTGGGAGGCGTTCATCTTCCCCACAGCCTGCGTTCCTCCGAAGAGTGGAAGAGGCCAGCAAAGCAGGCCGAACATCCCTAGAAACCTGAGGTAACTTGGGAGAAGGGGATAGGACACAACGCTGTGGGAGTTTTGATAATGAATCAGGGCCACTGATGGGGTGGCTAAAGGGCACAGGAGGCCCGGGCCTGTTGAGTCGGCACTGGAGCCCCGCACAGCACAGTCCAGGCGGCAATGACGGCTTGCTGACCCTTGCCCTGCTTTCTCCTCCTGAGGCTTCGCCTGTTTGGAGGTCTGGAGTTGACCCCACTGCTCACTTCCATTCCCCAGGGCCAGGCAATGTGTGTCACCAACCCTGATACTAATCCATCACAGTTAACACTCCCTTGCCCCCTTTACAGGGTCAGAGCGCTCCATGCGCCTGGATACTCCATCCTTTGGGCTGTAAATTCTCCAGCGCAGGGTCTGTCTGTTTGTGGTGGGTTTGTGCAGCCCCTGATGCAGTGGTGCCCTGTTCCAAAACAGGGGCTTCTAGGTGCTTTGGTGGTACAAATGAGGATGAGGAGGGGGAAGGTCTCAGCTCCCCAGTAACCTGCCTCTCGATTATTTTATCCCTGCTCCTGCTTTGTCCCACCTTGTCCCACTCCACAGCACATCGCTGGCCTCCCCACTGTGCTCCTTGGTAAACTATGAGGGATGTCAATTAATCCTCGTTAAATCACACAACCAACTCATAAATTAATTAGGGTTAAAATTTAATGACGATTAACCTCCATTTTAATTATACTTAAAAATAGAAAATCAGTTGAAATGTATAAAATATTTTTGTATATTTTTTGACATTTTCAAATATACTGTTTTCAGCTGCAATATAGAATGCCGTCCATGCTTCTGCCACCAATCCAGAGGACAGTCTTGCATGCTGATGACACTCATTAATAACCTTGTGTTGCTTACATTCATTACTGAACTTCTTAGGGGAGAATTGTGTGATTCTTATTCTGCCTTATATTGCATATTATTTTTATTTTTGGATGATGACCCAGCACGTTCTGTCCATCTTAAGAACACTCTCATTGTCGATGTGACAAAATGCAAAGAGGTACCCTTGTGAGATTTCTAGTGACAGCTGCAGCATTCGAGCCAAGGTTTAAGAATCCAAAGTGCCTTCTGAAATCTGAGAGGGACAAGGTGTAGAGCATGCTGTCAGAAATTTTAAAAGAACAACACTTTGGTACGGAAACTACAGAAGCCGAACCCTCAGAAAAGAAAATCAGCCTTTTGCAGGTGGCATCCGACTTAGATGGTGAAATGAACATGAATTAGTCCCTACTGCTTTGGACTGTTATTGAGCAGAACCCGTCTCCGCATGGACACATCTCCTCTGGAATGGTGGTTGAAGCATGAAAGGACACATGGATCCTTTGAGCATCTGGCACGTAAATATCTTGCAATGCCAGCTATAAAAGAGCCATGTAAATATCTTGCAATGCCAGCTACAAAAGAACCATATGAGCACCTGTTCTCACTTTCAGGTGACATTGTAAATAAAAGGGGAGCAGCATTGTCTCCTGCAAATGTAAAAAAACTTGTTTGCACAGTTGACTGAACAAGTTGTAGGACTGAGTGGACTTGTAGCCTCTAAAGTTTTACAATGTTTTATTTTTGAATGCAGCTTTTTGTACATAATTCTACATTTGTAGGTTGAATTTTCATGGCCAAAAGATTGCATTACAGTGCTTAGAATGGGAGAAATTGAAAAATACTATTTCTTTTAGTTTTACAGTGCAAATATTTGTAATCAAAAATAAAGTGAGCACTCTCTGAAAATGTAGGAAACATCCAAAAAGATTTAAATCAAAGGTATTCTGTTATTATTTAACAGTGCAATTAATCACACTATCAATCACAATTTTTAATTGTATGACTAATCATTATTTTTTTAAATTGCTTGATAACCCTAGATATTATTGAGGGGGTCAGACAGTAGGGGGAAAAAACAATATTTAATGATAATGAACATCGAGATTCAGAAATTTAGAGTTTTCGAACGATTAAAATGATCTGTCAACATCCCCATACAATATATGGCAGAAATGTTGTTAAATCAGACCCTAATAAGTTCTCAAACAGCATTTTTCTTCCTTTGACTTTCTCTATATTTTGATTATTATCTATTGAAATGGTTTATTGATTTGTAAGTGTACAGGGAAATCACAGATTCATGGAATACGAGAACAGGAAGGGTCCTCCAGAGGTCATCAAGTCCAGTCCCCTGCCCTCAAGGCAGGACCAAGCACCACTTAGAAATGTTTGCCAACATTTGCTGATAACAATCCAGTACTTCCAAACCTAGTTGTAGATTTACAGGTAGCCTCTTTTCAGAACAATACACAGGAGAGGCAGCATTTCTCAGCCATTCTGTCTCTCACAATGGCTAGATGGGTGTGGGGAAGGGTTGTTTCTCAAAGTTCAAAGGAAACTACTCATTCCATTTCTAAAAGTCAGGGCCTTTTCTTTTATTACTAATCTATGACCAGTTTTCTCTTTGGAATCTGAAGATGAACTCAAAGTATTAACCCTGACTTAATGCCATGGACGCCAAAATGATCCCTGTTTAGAGGGGAGGTCAGATTTACACACTGGAGTGTAAATACCGCTGTGATGCCATGTCCTGGCTCTTGTGTGGGTCATGGTAAAACACTTTGCTGGGGAAGGATTTTGCGCAGAGCTCCTCAGCTGGTGTAAATCCCCAGTGTCCTGGAAATGCACAGAGTGCTGCGGGTTTACCATAGCCAAGGATCTGACTCCGACCTAGTGCCCGCAGTGTCTGCCCCATCAGCTGAGGTATCTCTTCTCGGGTGGGGACAGCTCCTGCCACCCAGGGTCCTCAGCTGGGACATTGGCCAATCAGAGGGCTCCCTTGGCAGAGCCAGATACCATGGGAAATAGAGTTTGACTCTACAAAACAAAGTTGTGTTGAACTTTTGCTTCAAAAAGCCACCCATGCAGAAAATGACAGCCTGGCAGAGCATTCCCAGACACCCAGAGGCCCACTTGCAGGAAGGAATCTCATGCTCTGGGCTGTACAGCCCGGCACCTATTCAAGCTGCTTCCTTAAAGACCTTTCCCGCGGAGCACAATGAGACTATTAGTATTAGTGAGGTTGCACAGCAACACCTGCTTCCAGCGTCTTGGAGCAGCTCGTTAGTGGTTCCTAATGAGCCCTCTGACAATACCCAGGAAGTGCACCAGGGATGAGGGAACTTTCGAGACGCTCAGAGTCAGGCTGAGTTGGTAGTTAGGCAGTTTGATGGGGAGCCACATTTGGACTCAGCCTTAGATGCGTCTTTTCATCTGTGTTCCAGAGCTGGGAGGAGCTTCCCGAGAAGTAGAGGAGACATTCTCCTTAGCCCTACATGCTGAGGCAGAAAATCACGCCTCTCCAGCCGTGATATGGCAGGGCAAGACCTGGGGCACAGGCAAACTAAATGTATAGAGCCACATCCTCAGCTGATGTAAATCAGTTCTGCTCCCTCAGTGCAGCAGGAGAGGGTTGTCTTTTGCGTTGTACACAACATAAATACTACACCGAAACGACAAAGCCACCGTGGGCTTCAAATAGCCGAGCTGACCAACAACACACAATACAACAGATCTAGTGACACAGCATACTGCAAAGCCTATCTTAAAAATACTAGTTAGGTTGCAAAAGTCAGGCAGTGCCCGAAGTATGCGGTCCCTATTCATATATGATAATGTAATGAAAAAAATACTAGTTAGGTTGCAAAAGTCAGGCAGTGCCCGAAGTATGTGGTCCCTATTCGTATATGATGATGTAATGAAAGACCATGTCACCGTGCTCATCAGGGCTACATTAAGGTTAGATAGACCACCTCAGTTCTGGCAACTTTTAGCATTTGTGTGCTTGCCTTTGACACCCCAGGAATGTTCTGTGAATGCTGGGTTTGTGGCTGGAATTTCCCAGGTTTTATAACAAGCAAAGGGCAAAACAGAATTTCTGGACTTTTAGAGATAAGCAACCAGGTCTTTTCTCCTCTTGCCCGATCCCTCTTGCCTACCCCTGGACTGGGAAAGTTCCATCATGGGCGGGTTTCCCTCGTGGAAGAGAACACCCCAGCCAACCACTTTGACTGGGATGGCAGGAATATAGGATTTGTCATAGGGAACTGGCCCCCTAGGAGTGGCTAAGGCAGCTCATGATGCTTTAGTTTCGAAGTTCCCATAAGGAACTCCGCCAGTCGTACCCTGCAATACACCTCCTGACCCACACAGTGAGCTGTGTATGTCCCGGGGTAACTGATTCCCCATCGTCTTCTGCGGCAGGATTATAGTCTCTCTGTCATGCTCTCCGACATACTATAAAGAGATGCCATTTACTGCAGCATTGTGTTCTCTATATTGCTGTATTTCTGCAGCAGCCCTGCTGTTACCTTTGCTATATGTAAACAGCATGGGGTGCTTTCCACACTGTTAGTCCCTAGGTAACCATAACAACCAGAGCTGGTAACCCCAGGCTAGAAGCCGTCCCCGCTGGTTTCGATTTCACAGAGCAGGGCTCCGCATTCACACCCCAGATCCTATTGCAGGTCACATTGCAGGACAGCCCCGCTCCCGGGGGTCCTTGGAGTTTGTCACAGCAATGGGGAAACAGACATTTCATTGCAGGACACAGACAATGGCCAGCAGCCGAGTGGTTAATCTCAGCTCACTGGCTGTGACTAACTGGAGTTTGTACCTGTCTTGTCTCAGCACCTGTCACATCAGGGTTCTGATCTCAACTGGATGCTACCACAAAGCAAAGAAATAAAAGATGAATAGTGGACATTTCTTCCGCAGGCCAGAGACTCTGTCCATCCTGGTATTACTCGCGGGAGCGAACCCTGTCCCAGTGAGTGTGGGTTTGAATTCCCCTCCAGAGAAGAGACCTTCCGCAGGCCAGAGACTCTGTCCATCCTGGTATTACTCGCGGGAGCGAACCCTGTCCCAGTGAGTGTGGGTGTGAGGTTGGGAAGGATGGGCTTTTACAGGGTTTGAATTCCCCTCCAGAGAAGCAGGAAGCGAACCTACCCATGTTTAGGTCATAAAAGCAAATTGTAGTCAGTCGTGTGTGACCCAGGCCAGCTGCTGGGGAGAGGCACCTGTGACAAACGTAGTGGGGAGCGGATTTGCATGTCCTGTGTTCCTCGGATGCAGGACGAGCATCTCAGTGTGAGTCACAGCCCAGCCAATTCTCCTCTGGCTGACGTGTGCAGTGAGGGGCCATGGACACCCACATGGGGGTCTTCTGTGTCCCATGGGTGTAGGTGAGAGTCAGATTGTGCTTCGTGAGGCTCTGGGTGGGAAGAACTCAGGCTGAGTTCTCTCCGCCGGGCTCCCTCCTGTTGCCTCGTGTCCCCCCTGTTTTACTCCCTTGGGCCCAGCACAGGAGAAAAACACTGGCGTGAACCCTCACCTTTGAAGTCGACAAGCCAATGTGGATTTACACCAGCAGAGGCTGGCCCACGAGTCTCTATGTCAGGGTGCAATAATCTGTGAACAAGGGCCTCCTTGTCTGTCCCTGGGGGTATGTGTACACTGCAGAGTTTTTCCGGAAAAACAGCCTTTTTTCCAGAAAAACTACACTTACATCTGCACTGCAGTTGTGTTCTTTCAACAGAAAGTCGAAAAAACAGAGGGGTTTTTCTGACGACGGTAAACCTCATTCGAGGAGAAAGAAACCTTTTTCTGAAAGAGCTCTTTCGGAAAAAGGCACGTGTGGATGGGGAAGAGGGGGTTTTTCAAAAGAAGAGGCCACCAGGAAAAAGCACAGGTGCCATGGTGGCCACTCGGGCCACAGTAATCAGAACTTCATTGTGAGATAGTGTCCAATCAATGTGGACACTAACATTTGAAAAAGCTGATCGCTTTTTTGTTGCGCTTTTGCTGTGTGGACACTCTCTTTCGAAAGATGCTTTTCTGGAAGATCTCTTCTGGAAAAGCTTCTTCCGAAAGAAGCTCGCAGTCTAGACATAGCCTGGGAGCTAAGCTGGACAGCAGCTCAGGAAAATCTGAGAGAGCTCAGCCTTGGTGATAGGGCCCCAGCTATATCAGCCCCCACCCTGTTTCCTGGCCCTGTCGCGTCGGAGACACGCACCCACACTGCACCCTCCACAGGAGTGGCCCGAGGTTGGCTGTGGCAGCTGGCGACCTGGGCGGAAGGCGTGATCAGCGCCCCCACCTCACGGCCGTCAATGACCGTAATCACGGAGTGCCCCTGACCCTCCAACAACTCCAAATGGGACGCCGATTCATTTCAACTACCTGCCAATCTCAGACTGGCTGCCGTGTAAGCCTGCAACTGGCCCTTCTTAGGTGTCTTTGTTACTATTGCACGACACACCTAGTAACATGCTGTTGCTCCACACAACTCTCTGTTGTCAGTCCTCTTGGTGTACAGGGTCCATCTGAAAACATGGTATGTAGCATTTTATTAACGGCAATTTTTCTCAGTATCTTCTCCGGGGACTATAGAACAGCCGGGTTCCCATCCCACTCTGCAAACTTTGAGGGCAGAATTTTAGACTCCTGCAACTGAGGTCCTGACTTTACCAGTTAAACAGCTGTTCCATTTTACAGGTTATGGATTTTAACCGCTTTCAGAATTTCCAGCTGCCAAGGCTAATGAGAAACATTCCTTGAAACTAGAAAGAGATTTGCAGATTTTTAAACTATCTTTTAAACCTGCTTATTCAACGGCTCTAATATGTATGTCTGTGTTTTAGGTAGGGTTGCCAGGTGTCTGGTTTTGAACTGGACAGTCCAGTACTTGAGCGTTCTGTTTGGGAAACAAATTGAGAAAATATAAATGAGAAAATATAAATGTCCAGTATTTTCTAAATAAGATGTAATGTAGATTGTGATATAATGTCAAGTGTGTCCGATATTTTTGTTGAAACCATCTGGAAACCCTAGTTTTAGGACACAGCATGACCAAACCGGGTATCAGCGAGTGACAGATTTAAGTCAGAACTGAGTAATACAAAAAGTGTTGGCCTAGGAATGGCAAATAAAAACATGCTGCAATATTTAAATACAATGAATCTGTTTAACATGTGGGCTACGTCTACACTGGCACCCTTTTCTGGAAATGCTTAAAACGGAACAGTTTTCCGTTATAAGTATTTCCGGAAAAAGCGTGTCTACATCAGCTACTTTTACCCAAACAGGAGCAGCATAGTTTTTCCGGAAAAACAATGACGATTTTACATTAGATCGTCATTGCTTTTCCGGAAAAGCAAGCGGCCAGTGTAGACAGCTGGCAAGTTATTCCGGAAAAGCGGCTGCTTTTCCGGAATAAGTGGCCAGTGTAGACACAGCCGTGGTTTTTAAAAGCAGTCAGAACTGTGTGTGGGAGAAAGAGAGACAGATCATTTAAGCACTAGTAAGTCAAAAAGGATGGGTTTCTTTTTAAAGTTTCTACTTTAAACTACTAAAAGCTGAAAAGTGTGCTTCAGCATATTTACCATCTGTTGATTTTTGCTCGGTCTTCAATATGCCAGTAGCTGACATGTATTTCCCCGCAGAATTTAACAAAATCTACTGATACCACTTCCTCACAGTGAGAATCATTTTCTAATAGCCTCTGCTATTCACTGTGGCTATTTAGATGGGTATGTGCATTGCTACACACATGTACGTGTGTATACAGTGTAGTTGTAGTCATGCGTTATTGGATTTCACACTGGACATACATGCATACGCTTTAGGTGTGTATGCAGGATTTAAATATAGATGCTCTGTCTTAGGCGTACACGTATATGCAGAAACCATGGCTCTGTGTATTTTCAGTATCTTGATGAGATCTATACAGAGTTATCAAATACCAACAAAATACTACAAAAAAGATGACATTTTCCCTCAAAATAATTTGGTTTTTTGTCATTGAAAACCCAAATGAGTAAAGGATTGAGTGGTGGTGATCTTTTTAAACAAAAATCCAAAATATTCCAACAAAACCAGATTTTTTTGGAAAATTTCAAAAACCCATTTTTTTTGTTCTCAAAAGTATTTGACCAAATGTTGCACTTAGCCATAGGATCATAGAGATTTGAAGGTGTGCAAAGGAAGGGTGGCTCTGTGTCCGCATACGGTCGATGTGGACACTCAGTGCAGATCGGTTTATGAAGAACAATAAATGAACTTACCGGCCTTTCCCTCCTTATTTTCCAGGCTTTCTTCCAAAATACATTCTACCCCTGGCACTGTCCTGTCTTCACACCTCCGTGGCTGGCTATGCCTGGGCATACGACCCCCCTGACGTACCCTACTAGCGGGGTTGTCTTTGGGAACATGCCGGCCAACGCTGGCGGAATTCCCGCCTTCAAATTCCAGTCCCGCCGAGACAGCGTTGACTGGAGGCGGTTCAGTGCCATTGACGTGGAGCGGGTGGCCCGGGAGCTGGACGTGACCACGCTCCAGGAGAACATTGTCGGCGTCACCTTCTGTAACCTGGACTCTGAAAAGTGCCCGCACTGCCAGCAGCCCATAGACCCAGTTCTCCTGAAGGTCCTGAAGATGGCGCAGCTGACCATCGAGTACTTGCTGCACTCGCAGGAGTACCTGAGCGCCAGCGTGGCGCTGCAGGAGGAGCATCTGCGGATGGCCCAGGAGGAGCTGAAGCGCACCAGGCAGGAGCTGGACAAGCAGGCGGAGGAGCTGAAGGGGGTAAAGGAGGAGAGCCGGAGGCGGAAGAAGATGATTGCCACCCAACAACTCCTCCTGCAGGCTGGGACCAATAACTACCACAAGGTGAGCTCCAGGCAGAGGGCAAAAATAGCCTCCCAGCCTAGATTGTTCTGGGGAAAGGGGGGAGTGAGGGGAAGGAGCCTTTTCCCCACTCACCTCAGAAACCCTGGCAACTTGGTCAACGGAAAGGGCAATAAAAATGATGAGGGGTTTGGAATGGGTCCCAGATGAGAGATTAAAAAGACTTGGACTTTTCAGCTTAGAAAAAGAGACTAAGGAGGGATAGGACAGAGGTCTATAAAATCATGACTGAAAAAGTGAACAAGGAAAAGTTATGTACTTATTCCCACAATATAAGAACTAGGAGTCACCAAATGAAATGAATCGGCAGCAGGTTTAAAACAAACAAAAGGAAGTTTTTCTTCACTCGGCGCACAGTCAACCTTTTGGAACTCCTCGCCAGAGGATGAGGTGAAAACTAGGACTTAACAAGGTTCAAAAAAGTTCTAGATAGATTCATGGAGGTTAGGTCCACCAATGGCTATTGACCAGGATGGGTAGGAATGGTGTCCCTAGCCTCTGTTTCTCTGGAGGTGGGTGACAGGGGAGGGGTCATGTGAGGATTCCCTGTTGTGTGCCCTCCCTCTTGGGCATCTGGCATTGGCCACTGTTGGCAGACAGGGTACTGGGCTGGATGGACTGACCCAGTCTGGCCATTCTTATGTCCCCGGCTGCTGTGCCCTAGACCCTGCACTAGAGAGAAAACTTCCCCGTTAGGCCCTGATCCGGCCTGACTCCACCCTGCGTGCGACGTGCGCTTACGTTCTTGGCAGCCCCTCAGCTGCTCTGCCCCCGGTGTCCCCAAGTCAGCCGCTGCTGATACTGATCAGTGGCTGACTCAAGGAAGCCTGAGGCAGAGCTGCTCTGGTCAGTTTCAACAGCAGCTGAATCGGGATGCCTGGGACAGAGCAGCTGGGGCGCTGCAGGGTTGGTCCCGCAGCGCCGCACCTCAGTGCTGCGGGACCAACCCGGCAGCACCCCAGCTGCTCTGTCCCAGGTGTACCCAAGTCAGCTGCTGCTGAAACTGACCAGCGGCTGATTCCAGGAAGCCGGGGCAAAGCAGCTCTGCCTCTGGCTTCCTGGAGTCAGCCGCTGGTCAGTTTTAGCAGCGGCTGAATCGGGGAAGCCGGGGGCAGAGCAGCTCCAATGGTCCGGCTGCCTGGAGCACTTCGGGTTCCTGATGGTGCTGGACCATCAGGAGTGCCGGACCATCAGATTCCGGACCATCGGAGTCTTCTCCAGCAGGACAGTTTTCGCTTTCAATTGCAGTACCCCAGCTGAAACCTTAATTCATGCTCCTCCTCTTTTGTTAATGGGCCTGCTTTCTTCCCCGTGCTTCTTTTAGCCTGGCTATCTTTACAAAAGCCTTTTCTTTTTGCCCCTTGGGACTGTGTGGCTAATATTGATTCATTTTGCTTGTCTGCAGCCCTAAGTTTTCCCAGGAAGCCTGAGCGACCTCTGACTTTTCTCCTTGGATTGCCCTCTTTTATCCAACCCTATGGCAGGTTCTTTTTTGGCTTCCAAGTGAAGCTGCTCCTGACAGTCGCGCTGTGATAAGGTCCTGAGTCAGATCTCCAAGCATGTCGGGTTCTCTGGTTTCAGCTAGCAGAATGAAGCCGTCTTGTCTGGATTGGATGGGATGGGGCGAACACGCCACGGTGAGGCTCTGACCCCTTTCACTCCTTCGCTTCCTCAGTGTCAGCTGTGTGACAAGGCCTTCATGAACTACTCCTACCTCCAAGCCCACGTTCAGCGCAGACACATTGAGGCCAGTGACGCGGGTGAGTAAGGGGCTGAGTTTTTCTCCTTCAGCTTCTTTTTGAAAGGGTTTTGGTCGGACCTCCCCGCTGCAGGGGATGGCCTTCATGGGGGGGGAGCTGCTAGGGTGATTCCAGCGGATTGCCACTCAGCATCTAGTCTACATATGTTTCTCCCCCCACAGTAGAGGTGACAGATCCAGGGCTGGGACCTAGAGTGGGTGCTGCCAAAAAGACCAGGGGCTACATGAGGGAAAGTGAGAGCAACAGCTATAATACTCAGCCCTGCTGAAAATCAAACCTCATATTTCAGTTGATAGAAACGGATCTATGTGGATAACATTACACCACCAGGTTTGAAATATACCATCTGCGCTGCTGAACATCCCAAATCAGCGATGCAGCACGAGCATTTCAAATGAGAAACAACAGCTTGGAAAACACCTGTAGACCCAGACAGACAGATAGAGAGAGAGAGAGAGAGAGAGAGAGAGAGTGGATGGGGATAGATAGATAGATAGATAGATAGATAGATAGATAGATAGATAGATAGATAGATAGATGAGAGGTAGGGTGGTCTACTGGCTAGAACAATGGACACAGTGGATTGAGATTCTGGTACATGCTGCTGGATGACCTTGGGCAAGTCACTGCCCCTTCTATGCCTCAGTTTCCCTGTTTGTAAAATGGAGATGCTGCCACTGATCTCCTTTGTAAAGCTTTATCTAGGGATCTATTTAGTCACTTAGCAAGGCCAGAATTCTGATGCTTCAGCTTGGCTGATACAAGACGTGAGAACTGTCTCTCTGCAAAACAGACACCGTAGTCACCTGTTCCACTTCCCAGAAACAAGTGGAGGACAGAAATCACAACAAAAAATGCAAGCTGAGCTCAGCTAAAGGCTGGCTCTCCAGCTGCTGTGATATTTATTCTGTCCAGCAGAGGGCAGTGTTGTCACACATAGCTCTTCCATACAGGTGTGAGATCCTTAAGTCACTTTCCCAAGTATTCTATTTTAATACAACCTGTAGTGAAAAGCAAAAAGAAAAAGAACAAACAAAAAATAAAACAAAAACAAAAAATCCCAACACCCCACCCCCACCCCAACTGCTTGGTGTTTTTAATTTTGTTACCCTTTTGAACAAGTGCAAACAGAGAAAACTGAGCCCCTTTTCTGGGGTAAATGAGTCAGCTTTAAAGTCAGGGAGCGCTTTGCCATGGGCTTTAATGAAAATGGGATCCGATCCTAAATGCCCCAGATAAATCACAGTGGAAGCATCAGGCCATTCCGGCCATCACTCATGCATCCTCGGTTTGAATGGCTTTCGCAGAGAGACAGAAGAAGAAACAGGTGGAGCATATGGAGGATGAGATTCAAGAACTAAGGATGAAGCTGAAAGAGACCCATGCCCAGCTGGAAATTGAGAGAGAGGCTGAGACTCAGCTCAGGGTTCAGGTATGGACACCAAAAAAGTATTTCCAAGGGTCTGGGGGGAAACCGAGGTGGGAAGGGGGTTGGAGAACATTTATTTCACTTTGATTGGAAACAAAATGAAAATCTCAGCAAAAAGTTTCCAACATCAAGAAAAAGTTGAATTTCTTTTAAAATTGTTCACAGAAAATCTGCAATGAAAGACAAAACTGCTTGACAGTCACCAAATTGTTGGTATATCCTAATAGTAACTGCCCTTAAAAACAAACTGTCATATAAAAGCAGGCCTAGGCTGCATTCAGAGAGACTTGCGGGGGTCATTATACAGGTATATACAGTCAGTGTCAAATCTCCAAGCCCTCCTGCTTGTGCTAGTCCTCCCTTGCTGCCAAATGACTTCTCTGCCCATGTAACTATGGCTACACTGGGGCTTTTGCTGCTATAAAAATGTCAAAAAGCCTCACTGACGTTGTGCCGGCTTTAGCCCCAGGCCAGCTCCACACGTGTCTCGTGGAGGGAAGGCATGTCTACTCAGTGATCACAGGGGGTGACTGAGTTCGGTTTCATCTAGCTAGCTTGGGTACCAGAACAGTGTTGCTGGGACAGCATGAGCTGTACAAGCCCACTCAGAATTCTGGGTAATTCACACTTGCCTCATAAACAAACTAGGGAAACAGAACTTCTATACGGTGGGGACGTAATTGTTTGAGGACAATACCAAGCTGGGAGGAGTTGGAAGTGCTTTGGAGCACAGGATTATAATTCAAAATGATCACATAAGAATGGCCAGACTGGGTCAGACCAAAGATCCATCCAGCCGCAGTGTCCTGTCTGTCGACAGTGGCCAATGCCAGGTACCCCAGAGGGAGTGAACAGAACAGAGAATCCTCACACGATCTCTCTCCTATCGTCCATTTCCAGACACACAGAGGCTAGGGACACTATCCCTGCCCATCCTAGCTAATAGCCATTGATGGACGTAACCTCCATGAATTTATCTAGTTCTTTTTTAACCCTGTTACAGTCCTGGTCTTCACCACATCCTCTGGCAAGAAGAACTGTTTTGCGCAAATGGCGATCGGGCCTTTCTTGCGCAAAATCGGGGGACACCTGGAAAATCGCGTCTAGAGTGGCCATGAATGCTTTTGCGCAAAGGCACTTGCCAATCTTGACGCGTTTTTGCGGAAATACTTTAAACGGAAAAACTTTTCTGTTAAAAGTATTTCCGCAAAATCATGCCAGTCTAGACGCAGCCACTGAGTGCTGGCCTTTAAGTTTATGTTTCCCTGGATTGATTGAAAGAGTGAAGCTTGTCGGGCACAGACTGCTTTGGTGCACTTCCAAGGGCTACATCCTGCATCAACCAGCTGCTCAACCAGCAACCAGCCCTGCATTTCAAGAGACCCCTCGCCCAGTCGCTGATCCAACAGAATGTCCATTCCCAGCACTGTATCCACAGCACCCTGTCTGCTGGAGCATTAACCCTTCTCGCGTTTGGACTTGAACCTTACTGCAGAAAAGCCCCCTGCAAACACACCTCCATGGCAAAGGGAGCGTTCCAACCCGGTAGGGTCAGGAGTGGTCCCCTGGCCTGCCCTCATCTAATTGGTTAATTAATTTAATTGTTTTTACTTCTCAACTAAGCACTATGCAGAAGCATTTTACTGCCATATCTCACACACAGATCAATACCTGGTCTGGATGCCCCTTTTGTGAACTTCATAGCCCTGCTGATAAACACATAGGCTGTGTCTACGCTGCACCCCTTTTCCGGAAAAGGGATGCAGATTAGCCAAGTCGGAATTGCAAATGCAGCGGGGATTTAAATTTTCCCCGTTCCATTTGTATGAACATGGCTGCCGCTTTTTTCCGGCTCGGGGCTTTGCCGGAAAAAAGCGCCATTCTAGACAGGGATCTTTCGGAAAATAAAGCCTTTTCTGAAAGGTCCCTTATTCCTGATTTTAAGAGGAATAAGGGACCTTTCAGAAAAGGCTTTATTTTCTGAAAGATCCCTGTCTAGACTGGCGCTTTTTTCCGGCAAAGCCCCGAGCCGGAAAAAAGCGGCAGGCATGTTCATGCAAATGCTGCGGGGGATATTTAAGCCCCCCGTGGAATTTGCACTTCCGAAGTGTCTCATTAGCATCTCTTTT